TATGTCTAGTATTATACACAAAGAGTAACTTGAAATGGATCACAGATTTAAATTTAGGAGTTAAAACTATAAAACTGATAGAAGAAAACATATGAGAAAATCTCAGTTACTTTAGGCTTAATGATCTCTTTAAAAGACCATAAAAAGCAGGATATGAATTTCTGAAAATCAGTAAATTTCATTTAATCAAAATGAAGAACATATGCTCCTTAAAAGACACTGTTAAGAAAATGAAAAGGCAAGCCACAGACAGGGAGAAAATAATTGCAAAACATATACCTGACAAAGGACTTATATCTAAAATACTGAAAAAACATGTACAACTTAATAATGATATAACAATTCAATAGAGGTGTGCAAAAGATTTGAACAGACACTAAGGAAGATACATGTATGCCTCATAAGCACATGAACATATGCTTGAAATCGTTAGTCGTTGGGAAAAGCAAATTAAAACCATAATATACCTATTAAAATAGCTAAAATTAAGATACCACACACCAAGTGTTGGTGAGGATATGGAACAACCAGAACATTCATACACTGGTGGTGCTAATGTAAAATAAAATAGGACAACCACTTTGGAAAATGGTTTAATGGTTTCTTCAAAAGTTAAACATATATCCATCACATGACTCAGTCACTCTATCTACTCTTCAGGATTTATCCAAGAGAAAGAAAAGCATATGTCCATACAAAGACTCATAGAAGAACATTCATAAGTTTTATTTGTTTAGCCCCAAACAGCAAACAACCAAAACGTCTATGACCTATATCCATACAATGGATACTACTCAGTGATAAACAGAAATAAATTCTTGATTATATGTGATGACAGGGATAAATCTCAGAATAATGACGGTGAGTGANATTATATGTGATGACATGGATAAATCTCAGAATAATGACGGTGAGTGAAAGTAGCCTGACAAAAGAATATATACTGTATGATTTCATTTATATAACATTAAAAAAATACAAACAAATATCTATGACAGACAGCAAATCAGTGGTTGCCTAGGGATTAGCAAGGTAGGGGACAGGGGACAGTGGGCAAGAGGAAACTTTTGGGAGCAATGGTTAGGGATACTATCCTGATTGGGGTGACAGTTATACAGGTACATACATATGTCAAAATAGACCAAACTTCAATAATACTATTAAAACAAATGTACACCAAAAAAGTCTCCAATTCTACCTGTTAGAATATTTTAATAAACTGCTAAAATGCTTTCAAAGAACTTCTGAGAACATGAGAAAATCCATGGTACACAATTAAGTGAAACTGCTTAAATATATAACTGAATATAGGATGAAGTCAATTACATAGAAAGTTTATACACACAGATAAAAATACTTCTGGTTAGAAACAGATCTACATCAATGATAGTCTTCCCTGGGTTATGGAATCATGGGTGATTTTCTTTACACTTGATTTTCCAAGGCTTTCTTTGTTGATGTTGTTTTATTTCATTATTATTTTTATTTTACCTGAAACCTCAATGTCCTTTTAAGCCAGAAATTAACACAAAGATGAAGGGAAGAATTTGAGTGATGATCTACCCTGACAAGTGACTCCAATGTACACACCACAGACCCTTGAAAGATCACAGAGAAGACTCCGGGAACTCATATATGTGAACCAAGTATTATCCATAACTTAGTAATTTGTTTCACACACACGTGAGCTACTATTTTTCAGACGCTCACAGACACACTGAAAAGCAACCTCACTGCATCTGCAGAACCTCTAGTTTCCACATCAACAAAAACTAAAAGGGAAACAAAACCATGAACACGGGGGTCATCAGAAGCTCATTCCCTTCCACTTAGTGCCTGTAGGCCGCCTTCCTGGACTTTCTTCTGCTACAGCACCAGCATGCAGGAAGGGCTAAGCACAGCAGCCGGCGGCCAGTTGAAAAGTTCCATTACATGTTCCTGTTTCTCTGCTACGCCTTTTTATTATATTCTAAACCACACTTCTTCTAAGCTTTGTGTAAAGCCTGTGCTTTGTGTGTTCAACTCCACAACATAATTTAAGTTATAAAGTTAAATTAACAATCAAATGCCAAAGCCCAACGTGCTGTACCCAGAATGGCTTTGTAAAAGCTATTCTAGTAAAGCATTGAGGCTTTCTCCAGAGGTGAAATTGAGATGACTAAAGTTTGAGTTCTGGTGAAGTGTGGCACTGCCAATCTGTGATTGATCTTGGGGAAATCACTTAATGTGTGCTGAGGTTTCTACAGCTGCTTGGTAATAACCCTCCCCAAAATTAAAGTCAACAAATAATTTAATTACTGTTATAAAATACACTACAAAAAGCAGAGTTATTTATAATAAACTATTAGTTGTTCAAAGGCAATTTAGTTTACCTCAAAGAATTATTCTCTGCTTTTTGTCTGCCAAGTTCACTTTCTGTATCCATTGCTTTTCTTGCTAGTGATTTCATTTCTTTTTCCACAGTGGTTATGGTTTCCTTCATCAGAGTCATATTTGACATTTGCTCCATACGTTCATCATCAAGCTATACAAGTAGAATGACAAGGTTACTACCATCACTAAGAAAGTCTTAGTGATCTTCCTAAGGAGACATCTTCCCTTTGTAAAACTTGTATAGGACAAGATTTATACCATGAGATGATCAGGTTAGGCTTGAACGCTGTGGAAGGCTGCATGGACAGGGGACAAGAATAGTATATCCATCTACATTTTCCATCTGGTTCAATTTGACTTTAGCATACATATCCTATTTGCAAAAAAATTTCTTATTTGTTGTTCAACATTAACAAATTATAGCTATAAAGTGGAATTATGAAAAAAATTGTTTCCCCCATCTACTGCAATTTTCTACTCATTATAAAAACACAATGCAGATAAACTTATAAATATTCAATTAAATATGGTAACAGAAAGTCACATTCCCTTAATTCTGTTTATATAGGCATAATATCTCAAATAAAGCACCTCAAATCCTTGGTTAGTAAAATAGGTGATGCTTCCCAATTAAGTTCATTTACATATATTTTTCTCATTAATTTTCATTTCAACATAATTTTCTCTCCCCTATCTACTCTTTAGGTAGACTACCTCAGTTTCCCTGTATCTGGCAATGTTTTCTTTAATGACACAGAGATAAAAGTTTTGCTAAATTTCCTGAGAATGCATCCCTAATGGTTTTTTTTTTTTTAAAAGAGCACACTTTGCAACCTANTTATACAAATAAATGCAAATGATGCTCCCCAAATGCAAATAGATGTAAACAAACAGAAGTTTGTTTTACAATATCTTTGCCAAATTTTTTAAAACTGAATGTGGAGGCAGTCAATGCAAGAGGCATTATTTACTAAGAAGTATATATGGCATACTCCATTCATTTTGTGATATAAACATGAATTCAGCACAATTCTGGTAGAATACTGGTTTAATAGATATTATCACAGTGCTCTAGTCTTTCTCCACATAAATGTATAAGCCATAGTCAAGAACTAGTTACCTTTCCAGGCCCACCAATCCTACTGACGACCCGACATACTCTCTACATAATTTTCAACCATCCTCAGTTCCAAACCTAATCTATACCTGCAGATGATTTCATATTTTACTTTGTGGCTAAGTCCCATACCTTCCTTCCTCTCTATTATAATCACTATCTATTCAGCTAGTCTCCAAGTCTCAGGGAAATGAAAACTCAATTTCCAGAGCTAAGCCTTCCCCAGAATCCTGGACCTCATCTCCTGAAGTGTCTTCTAAGATATTCCCGAGTCAACTATAATTATTTCCTCTCACTTTGAATAGTACTCTGTCCACTGGCTCTTTCTCCCCTGACTTCAACCATGCACAGGGCTCCCATATCTTGAAAAACTGTCACTTAAACCTGTTGTGCCCATTTACCATCCTATGCCTCTCTCTCTCTTTTAAGTGTCTGTACCATGGCCTGTTCCTTACTACCCATCTTTCTATTTAAACTGATATTTCAACTGCTCAAACTAAAAACAATAAAACTAATTATAGAAGAGAATGTCATGTATCATCCATTAAATAGCTAACATAATGTTTCAATTTTTAAGTACAATAAAATCTCATTAAAACACTGCTGAGAAGGAAAAGAAATTAACAAGACTGAGAATAGAGTGTGAAAGAAAACAGATTTAACCAAAAGGATTGCACGCTATGATATAGTAGACACTGACCAATTCTTTTATATACTAAGATATATGCCCAGATTGATCCATTTCCACATGGGCAAATTCACCTATAAGAAGCTTAATTAAATGGCAAAATGCAGAACCAAATGGGAGTCAGAAAATCTGGATTGAATCCTGATGTTCTTGGGCAAATCAGTTAACCTCATTAGCTTTGCCTTCTCACATATAAAATGAAGCAAACAGGCCTTATAATCATGGTCTCCAAAGTCACTTTAGTTATTTAAAAACAGATGATTAAGCTTGACTTCAAACTAAAATAAAATCCACTGAAGTGAACTTCAAAAAACTTTGAAACAAAAAATAAAAAAAAAACTCCACTAGTATCTCCACCTTAGCCCATCATCCTGCACAAACTTGCTGTCGTTCTTAATAAAATTTGATATTTTTAAAAGAAATTATGTTGGTAATGTATGGGGTTTAATATTTGTGGATTAAAGAAACTATTTGGTTAATAGAGCTATTAATTTTAAGCTAAAAATAGAGATAAACTACAAACTGATGTTACTCTCTGAAATTAAATTATAAGGCAGTTTCTAAAGTGATTGATAGTACATCAAAATGATATGTTACTATTTTGTACTCTCCAAACTCAAATCTTTTTACCTTGAACTTAACATACCCTTCCATTTAACATTTTTCTCCATATCTTATTCCAAACATCAGACTATTTCTATGTATATGATCTTTCATGGCTATGGGGATAAAATGTGTGTGTGTGTGTGTACACATATACTGTATTGGAAATATATTTCATTAAAAATATCTTAAGAACAAAGGTAATTCCTAACTGGTAGTTAAATGAATTTGATTGGCAGGTTTAAGCATACCTAACAAATTGTGTATCTAGAATTAACTATTACTACTTACATATTTTGTTTCCTTAAAACCAAGTTTACCTGTTCATAAAGGACAAAGGTCTTGTCTCTCTCCGATGTAAGAACCTTGACATTACCCTGAATTTCTGCCAAATGTCGCTCATATTTTTCCAGCATGCACTTAAGCTCTTCGCGGTCTCGTGTTGTCCTCAAAAGGTCTACATCACAGGTTGTACCCTACAATTATTATATAAGAAATGTGAAGTTCTTCTTCGACATGATGGCAGTACACAGTCTCTAAGTACTTAAGCAAACATGATGATATAGTAAACAGAAATGATAAACAAGTTTAAAAGTCACCTCTCTTTTAAACAGCTTCATCCCAAATTGCTCCAAATTGTCTGATTAGCTCCCAACCACTACTAATGCTGGGATAAAGAACCAATTTCAATGATCCACTGTCCATCAAAGAGACCTATGTATGCCTCCCAACCTCTCTGATACACCAATTCATGTCAATCAACCTGAATTATTTCCAGATGAGGTAAATCAAAGAATAAAAGTCAGTGTTTGACCAACAAACTTAAAATATGTATAACTTTCCAAAACCTACCCGGGAAGATGGGGGTGGGCGTCTTGGACTTTTGGATCTACTTCTGATCATCTTTCTCAAGTTTTGAGCTTCACTCTTGTAGTGATCTCTGTCTGCTTCTAAAGTCTTGATAAAGGAATCAAGTCTGGAAGGAGATGTATTTTGTGTTTTTTCAGCCTCTAAAATTATCTTGCCAGGGAGAAAAAAATTAGGCCATTATTTCAAGCTAAACTACACCATCATTTTCTACACGAAGTTGAACACAAACAGGACCCTTAAAAATAATAACTGTGGTGTTTTAAAAATAAATTTTAACCAAAAGTTCTCTCTCCCTCCATGAGAGAAAGGAGTAACAATGAAACAGCAAGAACCACATTGATCTTACACATGGGAGTACCCTTGTGCACCAAGCAGAGAGGTCTGAGTGTAGAAAACAAACATGTTTTATTTTTCACAAAATCATGAGAGTCAAAACATAGGTACAATTTTTCATTGTTTTACTATACTAACAAAAATTTAAATGATTCCTTCACAAATATTTAAGAAAAATGTACTTACAGATCTAAGTCTTTTTATTGTATCTTCCAATACTATTATGTTATTTTGCTGGCAAACGAGTTCAATCTGAAAATCAAGCCAGANTTATTGTATCTTCCAATACTGTTATGTTATTTTGCTGGAAAACGAGTTCAATCTGAAAATCAAGCCAGAAAAAAATTATTTGGATTTTAAATGTTTAAACTGATTTAACTGGAAAAAGAGAATCAAAAAAGTAAGCCACTTAAAAATAAACACATGCAGACAGTGAATTTTTTATAAAAGAAATGATACTCTACCTTTTTATATTTCCCTACCTTTGATGGTAAAAGAACCTAGGATGAAATATAACAGTTTCTTTAAATTATCTAATGTCTTGTATAAGATATTGACTATATTTTACCAAATGATTCCCCACAAATTAGAAAAAATGTTAATACTAATTATAATCCTGAAGATGATAATGGGGAAGAAATAAAAGAATGATTAGGATTTTAAAAGCTTTCCCAAATCACCATAGTCAGAAGGGATTGTCTTTCCCTCTGAACTCTTTTAACAGTTTAGTTCAATCCAACCCACAAAAACTTTTTGTATCATATTTATGACATCAAACACACCCAGCCTCATAGTATAGTTACCCATAGTTATATATTTAGGGTATGACTAAATTGTATGTTCCTAGAGGCCAGTGACTATGTTTTTATGCAAAGCTGAAAAGCTCTTTGCTAACAGTTGGCAAGTTAGTTTAATAATTTTATTTCTCAATTCATAAACTTCTCCTTCATTATTCTAAACTAAAATGTACTATATTTTAAATATATTCTGGAATTATTGCACCTCATTTGTTCTTTTGATCAAAGTACTTTTCTAAGATTTCTCTGGCAGTCAATATTTTTATGAAATATTAAGGGGATGGGTATTATGGTATGAGACATAACTTATGTACAGTTTGAGTAAGCTTATATATGTTATTTGGGTAGACAGTCTTCAATGCTTCAATTTATACTACTATGTAGACACTAAAAAAAATGGATATATATTGAATTGTGTGTAAAGATGTCCATACTAAATTAATACAAAAACTCCACAAAGCCAAAAATTGTATTTAGTATGACACATTCTTGTAAAAAATAAATTTATATGCACATATCCTAGGTGCAGATGAAAGAAAACTAAAAATATATAAACTGAGGAAGATGGATTATGTCAGTTATAGCAAGGTATGATTACAGCAGATGTTATTTTCTATAGGCTGAAATTTCTAATAATAGATATGTATTACTTTACATACAAAAAAACATAATGCTGATTCCACTCTGAAAAACAAATTATAACTGGCTCAGGTGAAAAGATGCTAACCTAGTGTGTTCATTTATTTGACAGTTGTTTAATGAGGACTTACTATGTGCCTGACATCGTATTAAATACTAGGTCTAGGGGTGAATAAAACAGACAAAAAAACTGTCTTTACGGAGCTGACATTCTAGTTCAAAAGAGAAAAACGAAATATATTAGGCAAAACANATTAAATGCTAGGTCTAGGGGTGAATAAAACAGACAAAAAAACTGTCTTTACGGAGCTGACATTCTAGTTCAAAAGAGAAAAACGAAATATATTAGGCAAAACATATGCCAGATAGAGATTGTGTCATTCAAAAAATATATAATGAGCACTCACATCTGTTGTAGGCACTTGACATACAAAAGAAGTGGACAAAATACATCAAGATTCCTGCCTTTGGGGATCTGATATTCCAGCTGATAGACAATAAAAAATACCTAACAAATAAGTTATATAGTACACTAGAAAAAAAGAGCAGAGTTAAGGATATTAGGGGTGTTTTGAGGAAGAGGTTGGAATTTGAAATAGGGTGACCAGGGAAGTCCATGAAAGGAGCCCTTTGAGCAAAGACTTAAAGGAGGGAGGGAGGCAACCAGGTAAAAATCTGGGAGAACATTCCAGGCAGAAGATACAGCTTATAGCAAAGGTCCTAAGGCCAAAGATGTTTGCTAAATTCCAAGGAATAGTAAGGAGGCTAGTGAGGCTGGAGCAGAGGGAGGGAGGGATAAGTAGTAGGAAAGGGCTACAGAGAAAAATAAAGCAAAGTGTGTGTGTGTGTGTGTGTGTGTGCGCGCGCGCGCGTGTGTGTTTAGGAGGGGGGGTTAAAACTTAAATAAGCTTTACCTTTGCCTTCTACATGGTAGGTTCTGAAATATTTTCATTGACTGAACCACATACAAAGGTAACAATAGTGACAGAAGCTACCAGAGAGCCAGTCTAATAATGGCCTCTGTGAATTAAAAACATAAATTCTATCAAGAAACTAGTACTGGTGAAATTGCAATTCTGCTTCTTCATCTTTCAAAAGGTTGTGTTCAGTCATCTGGGAAACACTGTTTTAAGACATGAATGATAAACGACCCAAAATGAGAAGACAAAAGGAGGCATATAGTTGTGGTTTTTAATGTCCACAAATTCTGACATCTCTTCCACCAAAGATGGAGCCTGACTGCCCTCCTCTTAAGTATGGGCTGCACTTAGCGACTCACATCTAATGAAAGGATGTGGTGGTGTATAACGTGTGAGACTGGATCATAATAGGCATTACAGAGTCCTCCTTGCTGTCTCTCTTGGATCACTGGCTTGCAGACAAGCCAGCTGCCATAAAGAATATATTGAAGAACACCAGGGAAAGGTCCACCAGGCAAGGAGCTGAGGCTTCCTGCCAAAAGCCAACAGCCATCTGAGTAAGCCACACCTTGCTGAACAGCTATTTTGAGCCAGACTCGCCCATGAGGCAGTATATTTTTCCGCACTTGAATANTAGCCATCAACAGGCATCTGAGTAAATCGTCTTAAAAGCAAATCTTCCAGTACCACTCAAGCAATGACTATGAACCAGAGCTACTCAGCTAAGTAGCAGTTGAAACTGCAAGATATAAATGTTTGTCATTTAAGGCCATTAAGGTTCAGGTAAGTTGTTGCACAGCAGTAGATAATATAATACTAAATACTCAAAACATTTTTATGAAATAAAATGGAAGAAGTTACTCTTTAAAAAGCTCACCTTTAAAAAATGACTACAAGTAATTAATCTCCTTTGAGTTAATAAATTTAATACTGTCTTTCTTAATTCCAGGTAAACTAGCAGCAGCTTTAGACTCAGACTCTACCTCCATATATCCAGAGCATAACGTCAAAGAGTATAGAACCCAAACACCCTTTCTCAGCTCTTAAGTTAGAAATTCTCGTTTCAAACCTCCTCCCACAAGTCGGAGAGGAATCTGTCCTGGTAACTGGAAACCTAACAGCACACCCAGTGACACAAGCAGGACACGCACCGGCGCCCCTACCCCAATGCTGGACATGCATCTTTCTAGTCCCCATTTACCTGTGAGCTTCGCTTACCGAGGTCGGCGACTTCAGGTCAGGGCCTTCTATCAGCCTGCAGGACCTATTTCCATTCTGTCTGCTCTTTTTTTAACTTTCCACTGTTTGCCCTGCGCCAGCAATGCTATCTCTACTCTAAGGCTGCTACTCACCTTTTCCCCCCGAATAGCTCTCCAATTCTCAGATATACCAAAGGTTTCACCTTATCAGTGGATATCTATTTTCTAGAAACACTATTTTTTGAGCCAGGCAGAGTTACCACCTGTGAATTTAATATTTTCAGTTTTAGGTAAATCCTAGGTCTTTTATTTTAGATATTTTCCATTCCTGAAACTCCCCCTTTGACAGTAGAGGATTCACCCTGACACAGTCCTTACGCATTCTCTAGAATACAGATCCTGACAACCTTTCAAACTGTGACTTCTGTACTGGGCACTCTTCAGGGGGATTTGGCCAACTAGACTTTCCTGAGTCTGAGAAAGACTGCAGTAAATTCTTAATTTTAAGAAAAAACAGAGAAGATATAATAAAACATGAATCCAGTATTCTTTAATTTTATAGCTTGTATAATTAGTCTAAACTCAACTTAGCATTAAAATGTAAATAAAGAATAACTATTCCTAAAGAAAGCAGCAATGCAAACAAGAGTTTATTGAAAAATGTTTAAAATATTCAAGCTGCTTTTCAATGACCTTCAAATACTTTAGGAGCACCCATGACAAGATAAAGAATTCACAAATTAAAAGCCTATCATTCTTATCTACTGAGTAGCTCTCCTAAGAGCCCCTCAAGGCAGCATTTAAGAAGATTGTGTCCTTACAACTTAAATACTTTTTTATTCAGACTTTTCACTTAATTATCCTTTCTAAATAACTGAGGTTACTGCATGTAAACAAACACCATCCTAGAGTTCATTAACTGGGCTCTTATATTTCAAGTTACTGTAACAAATAATACCTTCTATATCTCCCATGTTCTCAGCCTAATCATTTAATTGCTTTATCATCGGCTACCTAGAGTAGCATATATTATGCTACCAAAGTACATTAAAAGGGTGTTTACAAAGTAACATGTAACAACAATAAGCTTTGGAAACTACATCACAGACACTGTTTACTAATTGGGTGACTAACAAAATCAAGTCAAGTAAGCACATTCACATGATATTTAAAAATTCAAGAGGTTGCTTTTTGGCTTTCAAATCTACTCTGTGATTTGCTTATAAACTATCAGGCAGCAATGAGAAACAAAACTGTCTTCATTTTATAATAGTGTTGAAATTCCCAGTTTCTAAATTTCATGGCAGAGTACTAAAACTCTATCAAGAAAGATGTTATCAAAATGTCAAAAGCTACAGCAATTAAAATAATGTGGTAGTGGCACAGAAAAAAGCAAATGAATCGATGAACCCAAACAGTCCAGAACTGCTGTCCACGCAGTAGCTGCTAAAATGGCTCTTCAAATCAGTGACTAAAGAAAGGACTAGTCGACCCTACCTCATACTAGAACAAAAAAAATTCCAAAGGATTTTAACTTTAAAAAAAAATTATTTAAAAGTATTAAAAGAAAACTAGAAAATGTTCTTGTAGTTCTTGAGGTGAGAAGGCCTTCTTAAACAAGAATCAAAATGAGGCAAAGTACAGAGAATTTTCAGGGCAGTGAAACTATTCTTTTTGATAGTATAATTGTGGATAAATGTCATTTTACATCTGTCCAAACCCACAGAATGGGCAACACCAAGAGTGAACCTAATGTAAAATATGGACTCTGGGTAAAAATCATGTGTCAACATAGGTTTGATAGGGGCACTTATAATGTCCAAAGACTGAACACCTGAATTAATCTGAAATATAATTATATTACTTATAAACATATATACTTATGTAAGCAGGGATTTAAGTTCTTTTTTCTTAGACTTCTTTCTCCTAGGCCTTTGCACCCCACACTCTCCTTGATCCTGGACTGAAGCAATTAAGGAGGTGGCGCAGCTGTGAACAATGGGTTAAGGTATCACCTTATCATCAAGACATCGCCAGGCCACCCAGATCAAAGGAGTGCAGATCTCACCTTATGGAGATACCCCCAGGTGCCAGGACTGCACATAGCTGCATTGCATTCCCAGCCCCAGTTTGCCTCATTAGCCCTATCCCTCAGGCCACTCCTTAAGACAGGTTTTGGAAGCTTGTAGGCTCCCTGTCTTCTTGGTTGGCCCGACTTCTCAATAAACGCCTTAGATGATTCAACCCTGCCTCCATTGAATTGGACTCAGCGACTGGTGGCCCCAAGCCCCACCCGGCTTTGTACCACTCTGGTGGGGGATGTTGATGATGGGGAAGGCTATGCAGGTGTGGGGGCAGGGAGTATATGGGAAATCTCTGTACCTTCTGCTTAGTTTTGCTATGAATTTAAAACTGCTCTAAAAAGTAAAGTCTACTCAAATTTTAAAAGGGGGGAGGGAACCTCAAAAAATAAAACAATCAAAATATTGACAACTATGACTACAAAGAAACTTTGGTTAAAAAACTTTTTCTAAAGTGTGAAGTATACTGTGGGTGTGAATACAGACAGGAGAAAGGAATGGGGTACATGTATCTTACTGGCAGTTACCTGCGCAGAGAGGAGAATTAGGGAGGAGGAGAAGTGTTTGGCACAGAACATTATCATTGCTTGAAGCTTTCACCATTACTACATCTCACTTGGGAAATTTTCTTAACAAAAGTTTTTAAAAGAAATAAAATGTAAGATACAATATAATTTTATCCATAGAACGAACATTTAAATATAATGTCAAATCTAAAAAACTTTCAAATGATATAAATGAGAATGTCATTTTTTCCATTGCATTTAATAATTACATGATGTTTAAAGTAGAATTAAAGTTTTGATCAGTAGTCAGATGTCAACTAGTATTATTGTGGTCATTTCACACACTATTTTATATACACACACACACACACACACACACACATATATGTATATAAAATCATTATGTTGCACACCTGAAACTAATATGTCAATTATACATCATTTAAAAAAAAATCCTATCATGAGTAAATCTAATACCTTTGCTTCTTCAAGTTCCTTGTCGGCGGTATCCACCACAAAATTTTTCTGTTTTTCCAGTTGCTCTGCTAGTTGGTCAATTTTAATCAGTTCCTTACAAAGATGCTCATTGTGGCTGGTTAAACTGTCTATTTGACCGCTTACCACTTCCTTATTGTTCAAGAGTTTCCTAACATATTCTTCCAAGGCATGATTTGTCTGTTTGAGGTCTTCAATCTGTTACAATTAGAAAGAAAATAATCACATTAAAATATTTCCTTAGCTTCCCTCCAGGAACAATGAGGTGGCTGGAATCAGAAAGGTGGGTTTGCTTCCGTGGCAAGGAGACTTAACTATGTGTCCTTTTTGACTTTCTGAATTTTGTGCCATGTGAATAGTTTCCCTATCTGAAAAATTATACCAAATAAAAATCTAAAGGTTTAGAGTTATATCTTTCAAGATAATTTACAGTTTAATAAAAAAAGAATTTAATTACTATTGATTTTTAACCATACTATTAGAAAAATTGCCAAATATTTCTATCTGCAGAAAGAAACAACAATCTTAAAATTATTTAATTTTAATAATCAGTATCATCAATTAGGCATTCTATAACTAAAGTTCCTTTTATTGTTATCAAAGTATGTTAGCTCTTTAGAAAAGCCCTTTTGAACAAACACATCAATAACTGCTTGACTAAGCTAAATACCAAATCATCAAGCATTTTCTGACTAATGTCGAGCTTTCCTTCCCAGCCCACTATCAAACTATCAAGGGACCAAGAAAAGGGCTTTTCAATCACAAAGGTATCCAAATGCCTTTAAAGGGGAAAATATATATATTTGACACATTGAACAATGATTATATGTCAGGAACTATGTTAAATTCTAAAGATTCAAAGCCAGGTGAAGTACCTGCCCTCAGAGGATTTATTGTTTACTTGAGAAAATACAAATACAATATGTTAAGTGCCATAAAGGACATAGCTATGAGATATAGTGGCACAAAGATCCTTTCCCATAGTATCTGACTCTCATTGTGTATTTAACAAACATTTATTGAGCACCTATTATAGTCAAGACACAGTTTCAGTACCCTCTGGGATATGTAAAAAGACAAAAGAAAAAAGTCTCAGTCTTCAAGGAGCATCTAAAATTGCTAAATACCTCATTTAATTGTTTTCTTAGTTCTAACAGTATTCTTGCCCTGACCTTGCCCTTTTCAAATAACTATATAGTTCTTTCCAATCCATCAGAATCAACAGTTTTCTTTAAAAACATAAACTTTATCTATAATTTGTCACTATATAAAAAATATCCTAAAGGCTATGAGTTATATTTATACTACAATGACATTGATTGTACCCAATACATACCCAGAAGCACCATAAAAGCCATTATTTTAATTCAACTCTCCCTTTGGCATTTTGTAAGGCACACACTAACTTGTCAGATTTAGAGGTAAAGAGTTTAAATTATCAAATCCAGGAAACAAGAAAAATTTGAAGAATAAATAAAAAAAGGGAAACTGCAAATGCATGTATTTTCTTAGCTGAGTCCTTTATCACATGGGCCTGAAATTTTAGCAATACCTCCTACTCTCCTCTCTTTTGGCCTTTTCCCACATACAGCTAAAAATTCATTGAAAATGAAAATTTGAGGTAACTCCTATAATCTGGGGTGTTTCGTCTCACTGAGAATGAATAAAATGAAAGAACGCCATTTGTGATCCCAGCCCTTCTGACCTGTCTGGCCTAACTAGCCACCATCCCCAACACAGACCTAAGGTTCGGACACACTGCAGAACACAGTCTCACTAAAGTCATTTAAAAACCTGAATTGGGGAAGTTATTGAAAATGTTACATGCTGTCACTGAACCCCTTTTTATGAGAATCCTCAGGGAAATCTTTTTGTTCTTTGGATATTTCAGGAAAACATGTAGTTCTTCTAGATAGATACCAAGCTTGTTCCTACCCCATGGACTGTGAATTATTTACGTAAAATTTCCTTTTTGCCTTTGCCTCTAGGACTTTTAAGGCCAATCTGCAGCCCACTTTTGTCCACTGCTACAGAAGTCTGTGCAGTAACTGTCTGCTATTCTCATCCTATGCTTTCACCAAGTTTATTTTCCCCTATTCTTATTATCTAAGCTATTTTCATTACTAGAATTTTTTAAACTATAGGATGTGGGGTAAACAAACAGATAAACTTCTATTTATCTGTTCTTATGTCTATTCTTCTTTGTTCATGACTTCTAGAGCGCCACATTTCTGAGCAACTAGAGCACACTAAAAATGCTTGCTGACCTTTCACTGCACCAGGAAAGATTAAGTGCTTCTAAAGCATTTAATTTAGTTTTATCTTAGAATTTTATAAGATATATTATAATCATTTTTTACTTTCCTGTCCCTTCCACTAAATTACAAGCAACTTTAAATGGATTGTATCTCTAATTTTTCAACATAACTCATTTTTGTATCATTATATATTTAGCACATAACAAATTATTGTTAAATAAAAAAATAAATTATAAATAAATGCATGAATACTCCCCTCACCTCTGACACCAAGCTCTACACTCATACATTTCCAAGGTATAAACACTTTGGAAGAGGCAGTTTAGAGTAGTAGAAAGGATGTGGACTTTGGACTAAGGCAGGCAGATGTAAATCTGGCTGCAGTCCTTTACCAGTGACTTAACTCAGGCAATTTACCATATGTTCTTGATCCTAAGAGGTGCATCTTGACTTCAGAAAAAATAAAGAGAAGACTCTTGAGTCTCATTTGTTAAGTGAAGAGAGTATCTACAACTCGCAGGGTTGCATGTAAAGAGGTATTAAAGTTCAAGTAAAATTTCTGGCAGGTAAGAGGTACCCAAAAAGCAGCTTTTCAAAAAAACTCAAACAAACAAAAAAGCCCTTTTATTTTAAAATAACAGAAGAGTCACAGGAAGTTGCAAACATAGTACAGAGAGGTCTCATTGCCCTTGACTCCATTTCCCTCAATGGTTACATCTTAATCACAGGACTATAGCAAACCCAGAGATTTCACATTGCTATATAGTGTATTGTTCTATATGATTTTATCTCGTGTATAGTGTTTTAACTACTACCTCAACAAGATCAGAACAATTCCATCACCACAAAGATTGCCCTTTATAGTTACATCCTCTCTCTCCCCATCTTTAACTGTCTTTTTTTGTGGGGGGCATGAAATAGGATTTATTAGTGGGTGTGCGTAAGGAGGGGTCAGCCTGAGGCTCTCATGAGTGAAGGGCCACTAGTTGTCCAGGGGGCCATGATTATGGACGTATTTGATCCCACAGTCATCTGGGACGAGCCACTTTTCAGCCCCCATACCTTCAAATGCATCTGCATTAAACTTAGTAAAAGCCCTACTTCTTGGAGATGTGGCTCTTCTGGCGGCCAGGGAACTTGAACCTGGCCCTGTGTAGGGCCTCATTCACATGCTCCTTGTTCTGCAGCTTGGTGCGGATGGACATGATGACTTGGCCAACATGGACCCTGGCCACTGTGCCCTGGAGCTTTCCAAAAGCACCCATATAGGTTGGGAACAGCATGAGGTCAGACGTGAGTGTCCACTGGAAAGGGCTGTCTCAAGGTCCCTTGGGACAACCCATACAAGCAACAGGCTGCATAGAGTACTGAGGGTGCTGCTGTTTGCAGCCACTGCACACTGTGCTCCCAGGGGGAAAAGAGCAGGGTCTTAATTGTAGGCCATCCTTAACTCTTAGCAACCACTAATCTCTATAATTTTGTCATTTTGATAACATTATATAGATAAATCATGTGATACAGATCACACTATGTGATATTTTGATATTGGCTTTTTCCCTCAGCTCAATGCTCTTGAGGTCTATCCAAGTTGACAACTTGGATCAACAGTTCATTCCTTTTTATTGCTGATTAATATTTCTTAATATGGATTATCACAGTTTGCTTACTCATTTACAGATTAAGGGAAATTTTAGTTATTTCTAGCTTTGGGCTATAACAAATAAAGCTGCTATGAACAACTGTATACAGATTCTTGAATGGACATATATTTCCATGCTGGATTGTATGGTAAATGTATGTTTACTTTAATAAGAACTAAATTATTTTTCCAGAGTCGCTGTACCATTTCTCATTCCCACTGGAAATGTATGAATGATTCAGTTTCTCCTCATCTTTACCAGCATTTGGTATTGTCACTATTTTTAATTTTAGCTGTTCTTATAGGTGTACATTATTTCAGCATGGTCTTAATTTGCATTTCCCTGATGTTTACAATGGATAAACATCTTTTTATGTGTTTGTCAACCATATATACTTCTGTGAAATATCTCTTCATGTCCTTTGCTTATGCTCTAATTGGATTATTTGCTTCTTACTGCTGAGTTTTGATGAATTTTTCATGTGTTCTAAATATGAGTTGTAACATCTTTTAATTTTATTAATATGCTCTTTCATAGAGCAAAAGACTTAAATTTTATGAAATTGAAATTATTTTTTTTCTTTTATGAATGATGCTTTTGGTGCCATTTCTAAGAACTCTTCACCAAGTCCAAGGTCCTGAATATTTTCTCCTGTTACCTCTACTTACTTTTATATTTTACATTTAACTCTATAATCCATTTTGAGTTGATTTTGATATATGGTATGAGGTTTAGAACTAGGCTTATTTTCTTCCCCTAAAAGATATCCAATTGCTCCAGTAGCATTTGTTGAAAAGACTGTCTTTCCTCACCAAACTGCATTTGTACCTCTATCAAAAATGATTTGGCTGTACTTGTGTAGGCTATTTCTGGATTCTCTATGCTGTATTATTGATGTATGTGCCTATCCTCTAGCAATACCATAGTCTTTATCAGTACAGCTACATATCAAGTTTTGGAATCAAGTAGAATGACTATTCTTTTTTAAATTTTTAAATTTTAATTTTAAAATTTATCGTTATTGTTGAAAGTATTACAGATGTCCCTTTCCCCCTCCCCCTTTGGTCCCCTCCACCCTGCATCCATCCCACCCCCAGGCTTTCGCTGCACTATTGATCCTTTTTCAAATAGTTTTTGCCTGAATTTTGATGGACGTTGCATTAAACCTGTTGCATTTTGATTTGGACAGAATTGACAACTTTCCTATGTTGAGGCTTCCAATCCATGAACATATGTATTTTTGCTGAAGTCATTAATTAGTTCTGGTTTTTGTATTGTATATTTTATGAGACTTTCTAAG